AATAAATAAATAAATAAATTATATTGAAGTCGTATTCTTGGGTTCAACCAAGAAAATTAGAAGTGTATTTCCTCTCAACCTAGAGGGTTGTATTAGGTAAGAATTAGCTTTTTCTTCAGTTCCAAATAACAAGATTTTCAATTTCATCCACAACCACAAACCCACATAAATTTAGGAACCAAGTGAATAAATTAAACACATAGTAGCAGTTGAATTAAATAATAATCAAAGTGTCTTAGCTAGCAATTCGAAAACAAAAACTAGATAATTACAAAATAAATAAAATAAAATAAAAAAGACTCATAATTCATATTATATTGATTTAGATTTTTGCCACTAAAATGGTTCTGTTTGAAAATTAAACAGGGAAAAAAAATCAATTTCACACAATCTGATTTGAATTATGGAGATCTATAAAATAATAATAATAATAATAATTATATGAAGAGATTAATTGGGTATCAGAACAGGAATTAGATGTGAAAATAGAGGAAGAGCAATAATACTGTAGATAGAAAGAGAATCGTCTTTGATGAACTTGGAAGGTGGCCTCTCTATCTCCAAGCATTCCAGAGAACTAGATGACGGTCTAACCCTCCCCAACATTTCCTCTCTCTTTCTCTCTCTAAAACTCTCTCTCTCTCTAGAAGTTTAAATGACAAGGGCAGATTTTGCTTTTCTCGATATAACATAAGGACCCTTTGGTAAATTTATTTGTTTAAATAATTGTTGAAATATTTCATTAATATAATTCAAACGTATATATACATATGGGGCCCACTGTGGTTAAACATTTGTTACCACAACCAACAGTAGTTTTTTTTAATTGACGTGGCCAAGTGTAGGCCACATAAACCAATCGGCTGGAACAGGTTCACTGTTCCACCAGAGAAGATTTTTGTCCCCCTCTCACAAGTTAATCTTCTGTTTAACTATTTTATTTTTATAATTATTGGATATACCTCTATACATATTAGATGAAAACTACAATGTACTAAATTATAGTATTTTTTTTTTTCCTTTATTGGTTGTTCAACTTCCCTGGATTATTAGACTGAAGAAAGTGATTCAAATGAGTTTAACCAATCTCCTATTAGACAATTTGAATTTTTTATACCTTTGGTTCATATCCTAGTATAAAGGTTACTATGATTATACTAAATCAAAAGGGTTGAATGTAGGTGTACCAATCGGACTTGACATTTGTACTTCAAATCAATATTACTTTTTACTTAGTAGGAAAAGCTACCAATAGTATCCTACCAATTCACTATTGAAAAACTTTTGAAAAGAACTTACTAGTGAAAATTTTGTAATTTAATTTTACTATTCTTATTCTAATTTTTTTTTCTCTTTATTTTACAAAAATAAATAAATAAATAAATAAATAAAATTTGCTACACTTACATGTGAATGTGAACGACACATTGCGATAAGATGCTGGAATGGACACTAGTTGTTTTGTTTGTGTGTCCAGTCTTGAATTTATTCTTTATTGATTTAGTGCACAGCAGAATAGTTGTAGAATATAATATAGATAAATAACCTAGAGGATGGTGAATAGATTTAACTTGCTCTTTTATCCAATTTTTACTTATTTTAATTTTACTGAAATAAAATTAAAATCAAACCACAAAACAAAAATAAAGTACAAGTAAAGTAAATAGAGTTTGAGAGATGACACTAGGATTTTTAGCAAGGAAACCCCAATTGGTATAATAGACCAATTGTTATGAGAAAAATCTCGTTGGACTATGCAGTCCATACACTATGTTTGAAGCAAAGTATACCGGACTTTGACTCAGGCTCACACCCTATCGTTTTAACAAAAACCAATTGCTGACAATCCCTGACTTTACGACCCCCCCGTCTAACAGCTCTTGACATCAGGCTTACTCTTAATCTTTGTAGAAGAGTTGCAGGTAGATCAAACAACACTCCATGAATGGTTTGACCCATTCAAAGTGTGATCGCTTCACCCCTTTTCTTCAAGATCTGAATTTGATAAAGAATGAATGAATTCTGCTTTTCAGAATTTATGAATCTTCAATTATGCTTCAATTCTGATGAGATAGAGAATAACACTATTAAATCACTCTTATGTTTATGTGTGTGCTCTCAAAAATAAAATCAGAAAAATTAGATTGATTTTCTGAAGAAAAAAAAAATATCTCTTAAAGATGGCTTTCAATTAGATCTGAATTTTGTATGCAAAAGTTATGTATAAACCTAGATGACTATCAGGGTTTATATAGGGTTTAGAATGTCCTAATCCCTCTGAAAATATAGAAAATTTTGTGTATAGGATTTGGTACAATTCTAAACCAAATAGGAAATAAATATGAAACAGGAAACTAAAATTGGAATGCTGTTAGGACTTTTTGAACTGGTTTAGGGGTGTTGAACCGGTTCAAGATTAGTAGATTATATTTCGAGCCAACCTTGAAGGGTTTTGAACTGATTCAAGGATGCTAAACCGGGTCAAGTCTAGCAGATTTGAATTTCTGAGGCTCTGAAGGCTGAAACACTGTTTTTGGGAAGTCTTGAAAATATACAAAGTGTAGAATATGTCCTAACCCTTTTAGATTCCTTCCTAAAGTGTTGTTCTTACCTTTCTCGAATGATCTCAGTCATGGTAACTTTGAACAACCTTCCAATTCCGCAGTCGATCTCGATATAGTAAATTGAAATTACAACTCGACTAGGACTTATTTTGTTTTCGATAATTGCCAATACACAAAATATATATTTTTCACAATCTCCCCAAAATATATATCTCACATTCTCCACTATAATTGTATTGATAGATTGGAAGTCAATAAAGCTGTAATTTTTATTCAATGTAGGATGACTAAATTCTTGCCATATTTTGATTCTTGATGATAAAATGTCTCTAGCTTTCTCTCTTATTCAATTTTAAGATATTGTATTTTTTAATTGGAATACTCCGAAAAAAAAATTGTACTGCCATACTCATCATATGAATTATTATTTATTTCTTTTCAATTAGATTATGCCATAATCTATCTTTAAATTTCTTGTCTCTCTTGACAGGAAAATGTTATCTTGGAGACAAATTGCAACCAATAAAAGGGGTGTTGTGAAGAAAATCATTGTTTTAGAATCTGTAGATGCTAAAAGAGAGACTGAGAGTGTGCTAAGTCTAAAAGAGAGAATGTTAAGGATTTGGAGCAATATGATTAAATTACAAATGTATACATGTCATGGATATATTTTATTTGCAATAGTTAACTGAATTACTCTTTAAGTTTTTACCATATGTGATTGATGGTGTTTAATTACTAGTGTATTTCAAGTTTGAAAATTTGAAATGTTGATAGGTTTATTAATATTATTACTTGTTCTTTATATATATATTACAAAAATATTAGTTATTTGTGACCGAATCTTATGGTCAGAAAAGGATCTGTTATTTGAGATCCAATGCAAAAGGATTGGTTATTTGTGACCATATGTAATGGATGCAAAAAGGCTCGGGTATTTGTAACCAAATGTAGTGGTCGCAAAAGGTTCCATTATTTGTGACTAAAAGTAGTGGTCACAAAAGGGTCGGTTATTTGTGACCATTTTAGTGGTCACAAAAGGGTAGTTTATTTGGGAGCAAATACTATAGTCGCAAAAGAATAAATTTTTTGCGACCATTTATTATGGTCGTTGAAAGCCATTTTGGTTTTTGGTTGCGAAAGACTATCCACGTCGCAGTTATCGACGACCAAAACATTTTGGTCGCTAAAGGCCAAAGGCTATTTACAACCAATTTGTGACCAATCTTTGGTCGCAAAAAGGCATTTGTTGTAATGCTTAAAGTGAGAGATAAGAGAGAGGAAAATCAAGAGATGCATGTATTATGGAATAAATTGAGAGTGATAGTTTAGAATTGACAGAAATCTTATACTTCATAAGTCATAAGTCACAACCAAATAAATGATAGATTACCATACTTTAGTTGTTCTTACCCAAAGTTAAAGAAGGAACACAACTTAAAGGAACAATCAAACTACCTTATTCCTAGTGGCAATCTCCGGTGGTTGTAGGATTTGAGCACTGCTGTTGTTGTTAGATAAAACTCAAGAAGCTGGAATTTCAGAAAAAAATCGTTCGAGATAACGTGAGCAATCTAAAGATTGTGAAGTGGTAGTCAATTTGGTTGGGAAAAAAACTTTTGTTTATTCAATGACTGAAGGGCATGATGGAAATTACAAAAGATTCATTAAATATAGAAACGGCTTCTCGTGTTTTATTTAAAAGAGTGTTTCCAAAAAGCTAGTACCTACCAGCTTCGACAGGAAGAGCATTTTGAAGGCAAAAGTTCTTTAGCTGAGCGATGCAAACACCCCTCTAAATAGCTTTTGGGCTTTAAAAGCCAAAAGTCGAGTTTGAAAAACCAATCCAAAGAAAGCCATAGTCATTTAAACTAAACATTACCTGGTTAACGGAATCGAAAAGGTGCAATGTCCAAGACTTCAAGTCTTATATATAGGAATGATATTATTGGTATTGTATGGTGCATGGGTAAATCTGGTTAAGGGTAACCTTAGTCCATTGCACTACCCTTAAAAAACGACGAAAAAAAAAGTGTGATTCAAAGGCTAAGAGTCTCTTTGGAAATTGCTTCTACTTCGTGTCTTCTTTTTTTTTTTTTTTTTTTTTTTGGCTTTTGCTTCAGACAATGTACTATAGCGAAGCAAAAACACGAAGCGCGTATAGTAACGTTTACTGCGATTTGAATAGTGCCGAAGCACATCTGAAAAAGAAGCCAAAATCGGAAGCACCAAATTGGTGCTTGCAGGGTTGCTTCCGCACTATAGCGAAGAACAATATCTCAAAAAAAATAATAACAAAAAATAAAATAAATAAATAAATTACCAGACATGTTTTCATGTTTTTGCAATAAATATACATTAACAAATATGCTTCCAAAGACTATTAAACATACTTCAAAACAGAAATATTGCTTCTCGAGTCAAAACAAAAGACTCTAAAAGAATTGACATCTTTTATTACAATAAATTTTGACTAAACAGACATAAACATTACATTTATCCAACAATGAAAAAAGAAAAAACATAAAAGTAGGTTTACACACATTACCATGGCTTACCAAACTTCCAATAGAGGTTTTATGCTACATTTATTTTTTGGTGGGGTATCCTATGCCATAAAGTCCAACAAATAGGGGTTTTTTGAATGCTTTCACGTAGAAAAGGTAAATAATCAAGAGTTTGGTGGCATTGTGGAGGCTGTGGCTAACTTGGCTCTGAGATCTTTTCTCAAGATCTTCCCAGAAGGAGACTTTGGAATGGCATGAACGAAGTATACCTTGTGCAGCTTCTTGTAAAACACCACCTGTTTAGCCCAAAAAAGAAAACTTCATTAATTTCATACCCTATTGTGAGTAAATGTTTGTACATGACTTTCAAAGGGAATATTGCTAAAGTGGTACTCTAATTCATACCTGTTTTGCTATGAATTCTTTAACAGCCTCTTCTGTCAGTTCAAACCCATTAGACCTAACCACAAATGCAACAGGAAGTTCTCCAGCAGCATCATCTTTTTGCCTGTTTAAACCCGTAGTTTCGACTATTATTATTATTGTTTAGGTAAAATCCTCACACACATCCACCACTAGTTACCGACCAAGAGAATTGTATGAGAGGGGTAGTTTTGAACAACAATAATATATAGTAGGATATCATTAGAAATTGAGTGGGATATTTTTAAGATTTTTACAAAAAATTAGGTACATTTTAAAGTTTTTTACAAAATTTATAGATAATTTGTAAATAAAAATTTTTCTTATTGGGTGCGTGTCTAAAGGCAGAGTCAAGAATTTGGTTCGGGAGACATGCTAAGCATATCAAAATATTTTTTTTTTCCTCACTAACAGCAACAAGACAAAAAAATGCGATTTTTTTCTCTTAAAGAGAGCAAAAATAAATTCAAAAAATAATGGTAAGAATGAAAAGAAATATAGAATTTATAAAAATAAATAGATAAATAAATAAATTAGAATTAGATAATTTTATGGGGGTAATTTATTATTATTAGGGGGGATTCTATAATTTTTTACAAATTATATGCATAGAATAAAATAAAATATAGTAGGATATCATGAGCTTGAACTCCCCACATCCCTTTGAGGGAGGAGATGCTATACTATCTGAGCTAATGGCATATTCGTATTTTCGTTACAGAAAGACTTGGGGTTTAGGATTTAGTCGCACTTACGGGACAACAGCTGCATCTGCAATGGATGGGTGGCTTATAAGAAGGGACTCGAGTTCAGCTGGTGGCACCTAAAAACACATGTAAATAAAATTTAAAAAATGAGTGATTTTAGTGAAGAAGTTAGAAAAAGATGAAAGTGCTTCGATGAAGCTAGGCAAATTAACATGCAATTTAGAGAGGGAAAAAAATAATAAAAAATAAAAAAGGGTAATGTGGAAGTATATATGCCTGGAAGCCTTTGAATTTGATGAGTTCCTTCACTCTGTCAACAATAAAAACCTCTTCATTGTCATCTACATAGCCAATGTCACCGGTGTGGAGCCAACCATCTACATCAATTGTTCTAGCCGTTGCCTCATCATCATTCAAGTACCCTATCATAGGGGATTGATCATATGCAAATTCCCAAATTAGACCATTATTTGTGTTGAGAAAACCATATATAGTTGAGGGAAAAATTGGACACCAAGTACTCAAGTATAAAATTAGCAAGGAAATGACATACACCTTTCATAATTTGCGGTCCACGGATGCAAATCTCGCCCGGTTGGTTGTAGTCAAGGAGACAACTTGTTTCAGGGTCGATGACCTTGAGCTCAGCATTCCTGACCACGGTGCCACATGAGCCGGACTTTGTCAAGAACGGCTGCTTCGCAAATGCTAGGGACATTGATAACACCGGTCCCGCCTCCGTCATCCCGTAACCCTGAGTCCAAATGTATCAACCAATTTATAATCGAAAAGTATATTTATGTCGAGTTACAATATTGCGAGTAAATATAGACTCGATTTACCAAAAAAAAAAAAAAGCCATATTTAATCCGAACATTGCAACTTGTTGCTGAAAAGTGACATTTACAACTTACAACACTCAGGGCCCCACTAAGAGTTGGAAGAATGGGCCCATGAGGATCAAATGCATCAACCAATTTATAATCGATGTTGAGTTGCAATATTGCGAGTAGATATAGACTCAGTTTAAAAATAATAATAATAATAATAAAATAATAAAAAAGCTATATCTAATCCCAACATTGTAACTCGTTGTTGAAAAGTGACCGTTACAACTTGCAACACTCGGGCCCCCACTAAAGAGCTGGAAGAATGGGCCCATGAGGATGCTTTGCCTTTTTATAACATTTTGATCGTAGATATAATCATTCTAATTTACACTCTCTTAGTCTCATATTAGTTATCCATATTTTTTTTCTTGGGTTGTTCTAAAATATTTGCTCACTCTCAAAGTCAAAGCAAGATAAAATCAATCACTCCAAAATTACCTTTTAATTTTTTTTTTTCAAATTTCCCAATTTGATAAGATACTTATTTAAACTTGGAAGGACAATTTGATAATCTTACAAATAAATTCCTTTTAAAATTCTAAAATCAAAAGTGGACAACTATTATGGTTATTATGATTAGTGGGATCAAAATGTTCATAATTTACCAGGTAGAAACATTATTGTAGAAGACATTAAAGGACTATTATGATTGCCGGCATAGTTGTTGCGACTGATTTGTCATAAATAGCCCCAAATTTAGTTGGCAATTCTTTCATGTCCCACCAAATTTATTTCTGGATGAGGTTGGTTATATTTGGACAGCATGAAAACTTTTATATGTGGTCACGAATGATCTTCTACAACCATTTTTATTTTTTAGCATACATTTTGTTTGGTTCTGCATTAATTTCCAGTTTTTCCAAGCATTAAATAAAACCTAATTAGTATGTGAAGTAAGTAAATAATTTATTTTTTATTTATTTATTATTTTTTCTTTTTTCTTTTTTCCTGGAAGTAAGTAAATACTTGATGGACATTGACTTTGACATTACCGTTTGGTTTTCCTTTTGGAATTTTAACCAATACATATTTTATGAGATTTAACCGTTACATTCTAATATACTCTTTTCAAATCACTAGACATGATTTTTTATTTTATTTAAAATGATCTGATGTTAAAAAAAATAAAAAATAAAAATTATGATAGTACTAATCTTTATTCATATGGATAGATGGGAAAGAAAAAAAAAGAAAAGAAAAAAAATAGTATTTTATTATATTAAGATAGAAGAGAGAAAAGAAAAGAAATAACAATAATTAAATTACTCTTATGTCCTTTTAAATAGATGGGACATGAGTAGAATAACAATTTATTTCCTTTTAATTGTTGAAGGCCGTTTTAGAATTATAAAAATATACTTAAATATTATTTCCCATTTTTGAAGGAATACGATATAAGGGATAGCTTGTACATATTTTTCTGTCTTCTAAAACAGAAGATTGAAAGTTTAAGTTTCTATATAAATAAGTGGCTGTGTGAATTTATTTTTTATCAATAAAAAAAATTCAAATCAAAGAAGGAAAGAATAAGAAATAGAAGAATTTAATAATAATGGATTACGAATCCCAATCTTGTGATATCCATAAAAATATTTTTCTAGAAGTTGTGATATAGATCAATTTAAACTTATTAATTAATCGAATTACTTCTTTCTCTTCTTCTTCTTTTTTCATATTCAATTATCTCTCCTTTTTAAAGAAGATGTTGGGAGTTCAAATTCCCGTAGAGGCATATTGTTGATACGAGTATTTCTTGCTTTAATTAAAAAATAACAATAAAAATGAAGTTGACCTTAATCTAAGCAAACTTAATAAAAAAATTAAAAATTATATTCGGATTTGAATGTGAACCTCTTGTACCTTGTATAAAACATTTAGATTTAAAATTTTTAAATTTGATATCAAAATTTAAGTCATACAATTATTTTTAATAAGTTTCTCTATCACGCTTTAAGTACATCTCACTTAAATTTTAATTGCTTATAACTTAATTTTATTTTTTTACTTTCACTTTTAACTTGGATGATGGTTGGATTTCCGTGTCGCTCAAATAAATATTACTCCCCACGTGCGCTCTTATTTTTATGTTTCCCGCAACCTCTCACTCTCTCCGTGCATAGTTTGGTACTTCCACTTTTGCCCTCGCAATCGCTTTCGATCTAGTGTGTCCAATTAATACCTACGACCATCTACCAAAGTGAGTGGGGAAGATAAAAGTTGAGTTTATAGTGGGGACCACTAAAATTTGACTTATTGATATCGTTATATCATGCAGGAATACAGGTACGAAACACAGATTCCACATGATATCAACTGGGATTTTTATTTTTTAAATAAAATATAAACACGTAAGGAATGTGATAATAAAATAATATAAAATATATTATTATATATACAAAATTTAGGGGTTTTTTTTTTTCCTTTTTTTTTAAAAAAAAATCTATGAAAGTAATCACTAATTTAAAAAATCACGTGAACTTTGAATTACTAAAAATAATTTTAAGCAATAGTAATTAAACAATAATTTAAAATAATTATAATATGATTTATTATTATTGATTTCCATCAACCACTAATTAATACACGAATATGATATTTATTTGCGTGCGGAAGTAAAATACAGTGGATCCTATCTTATTGTCATTAAATAAATGCGGTCCAAGAGATATTTTGTAGGTGCAAGAAGCATGATTTGAAAAAAAAATTCTGACGAGGAAGTCTTGCCATTTATGTGATGTGATAGTTAAAATTTAAAGATTTTCTCAGTGGAGACGAATCAAACAATGAAAGGGCCAAATTGAGTGAGTTTTTCACAGATACTACATGCGTGAATGAGGGGTCCAAAACCCTCTCTGTTTGGCTCTCCGCCAACCCTAGAATTCATTTTCCATAATTCTCAGGTGGAGGACTTCATCAGGAGCCATGGGAAGGAAAAAGTGTATCAATGTTAATTTGTTATTCTTAAAAATCACTAAAAATTATGGTATTTATTGAAAAAATTTAGAATACTTTTGAGTTCCAATGATCAAACCATCGGCTTTACTCAGAACCATCGGCCTTCTAGTTGTTAGATGTGATAATGACACCTATCTGATAATGATAGATTTTGAGAATACCAAAACGAATGGAGTATTACCTAACTTCTAAATATTAAATTTCTTTGTATTTTTTGTTTATCCTTTCATGAGCATAATCATTTGCATTTGTTACCTACATACGGTGGGACCCAAGTTTGGGTATGAATCCAAGGGATGCACTTGTTTTTACCAATGTCTTCTCCGAAGAAGTGATCGGATTTTATTGGAGAAAATGTTATACTCCCTCCATCTCATATTAATTATCAACTTTAAAATTTTGACTTATAATTTAATTTTTATGAATTAAAATTATTGAAATTAATCTTTAACATGGAATATAAGTAATATATAAGTATATTAAAGAAAGATGATTAAAAATATTATCAAATTATTCAAAAATAAAAAGTGATAGCAAGTAGAAATTTTTTAAATTGACAATTATTATTAGACGGGTAGTAATTTTTTATTTTAGTATCACTAATTTGATGAAATCGAAACTCAAACGATGAAAAAAGTATGAAGGTGTGTGTACCTGACCAAAAGTGGCCTGAGGGACTCTTCTTCGGAGAGCCTCCTCCAGCTCCTTTCCTAGCGGGGCGGCCCCGGACAACACCATTCGAATTGAGCTCAGGTCGAAGCTTGCCACCACCGGATTCTTCGCCAATGCCAGAACCAGCGGCGGCACAACAGCGGCCACCGACACCCGGTGTCTCTGAATCAGCTCCAACAATGCCCCAATCTCAAACTTCCTCATCAGCAACACCCCAGCACCGGCTCTTAGCGAGCACAACAGCACGGAATTCAATGAATAGATATGAAACAGTGGGAGGACGCACAAAACCACATCCTCTGACTTCAAGTACAAGTTAGGGTTTTCTCCATCAACCTGTTGAGCCACACTTGTTATCAAGCTCTTGTGAGTCAAGATCACACCCTTTGGCAACCCTGTAGTCCCAGATGAAAATGGCAGGGCTACGGGATCGTCTGGCTTGATCGAAACCGTTGGGACATCGCCTTCGTTGGCCTCAGAAAGGACCGAGAAATGAAGGCAGTTCTCCGGGGGTTCATCGACGGTGATCACCTTGAAATCTTCCCCCAGCTTCGGATAATTCTCTTCGGCGGTGGCCGAAGTATTGGCGCGAAGCTTATCAACGTATTGTGATTGGGTTATGACGAGTTTGGCGTTGGAGGCACTGAATTGCTTGAAAATTTCGGATGTGGTGTAGAAAGGGTTGACAGTGGTGGTGACTGCACCGATCATGGAAGCACCCATGAAGGCGAAGACGAACTCGGCACAGTTTTGGAGGAGAAGCATGATCACATCGCCCTTTCTGATGCCGAGACTGGCCAAACCGGCGGCGACTTTCCGGGACAGGAGATGGGTTTCGGCGAAAGAGTAGGTCTTGGCATTGGAGGAGCCAGGTATGAGACATGTCCTGTCAGAGAATTGAGAGAGATGCTCAAAACAGTAAGTGTGGAGAGGGAGGTGATTGGAGATGGGTATTTTCGGTAGTTTTGATCTGAAAATATGATGAGATGATTCATGATGATCAGAGACAATATTATTGGTAGGAGAGAGCTCTGAATTGGGCTTTTGGGATTGATCAAGAGAAGCTGCAACAGATATCATTGTTGTTAATTAAGGACTTAGTTTTGATCTGCTGTGTATCACAAGATGTACATGGAAGTGGATGGTGGAGAAGGAAGGTATTATTACACAGCTATAGAGAGAGAGAGAGAGAGAGAGAGAGAGAATCTAGAGGGAGAGAATGGGAAGTGGAATTAATAAATACAAGATAGAGATAGAGAGGGGTAGGTAGGAAAAGAGTGAAGGTTGAGAGAGAGGTTAAAGGTGGTAGCTTTGCAGATGGGGTTAGAGAGTAGGAGAGGAGTGAAGCACGCCCATCCCACGTTCAAGAACCAAGTCCGTCCATCCTCATCTAACCCTTCTTACTTACCCACCTACCTCTCTTGTATGTGTGTCTCTATATCACACGCACAAATTTATATTATTATTATTATGTAGTATATGCATAATAATTAAGTCCATCCTTTTTTTTTTCTTTTTTTTTTTTAATAACTAAAAAGACAATTAAATCCTATAAATTCTGTTTTATGACCAATAACTTTTTCTATTTGTGATTTGTCCCCCTAAATTAGTGTATCTTTCATATATATATATACCCTTTTAAAATAAGAGTCAAATTAATTTGTAACTATAAATTGAAATTTTGATATATGATATAATTTTTATATATATACATTTCTTTAAATTTTAGTTAATTAATGATTATTACATTATTATTTTGAAATAATTAATTTCATAAAATTCTATTAAAAAATCTTGTGTAAAATTCAAGAAGGCTTTAATATAAGAAAGATTTTAATCCATCTTTTAATCCATTAGACTTTAACCAATTTTAAAAAAATTAAAAAGACAATTAAATCCTATAAATTGGTTTTTTTTTTTTTTTTTTTTTTTTTTTTATAAGTTAAAGGATAAGCTTGTATAAATGAAAAATAATGTACAAAAGACTCCTATAAGATAGGAACAACAAGCTGCACAAGGCAGCAGCAGAATCCCAGCAAAATACAAATGCTAGGAACCAGTCCAAGCAAAAAACATAAAGGTTACAGAACTAGACTTCTGCAGGTACAAGCAAACATAATGTAGTACAAACATAAGATGCAACCATCCAAGCAAGTATCTTCCTGTAAACATTTCCATTGAATGCAGCCAAGTTTAAGGGACAGTTAGAGCTTGAGCACAGGCATAGCTGCATCCTTCCAAGAATAGTTTATGTAAGTCTTCAAGCCTCCTAACATTCCTCAGATCAGAAGCATTCTTTAGCTTAATTGAGGCCAGTTTTCCTTTTAAACATTTCTTTATCTGAGAAATGACTGAGGTTGGGGATGAGGATGTGTTCCTGAAGGCCCTATTATTTCTTTCCATCCATAGAAAGTAGACAGCAGCAAAGAGTAATAACTTATGCACCAGAAAATCATTAGCACTCCAATGCGCAGAGCACCATGAGATCAGTTCTTTCCAACTATATGGCTGAATGTACGACCCAATTGTGTGTTGAATGAATGACCACACCACCTTTGAGAACTCACACTAGAAGAATAGATGGTCCAAGGATTCATTGTTGGCTAGGCAAAGAAAGCAAACATTGATGTGATGTTTGTGCCTCATAGGTTTTCTGTCAAGAGTATAGAGTCTTCCTTTTGTTGCTAACCAAACAATAAAGTTATGTTTGGGAATATGATGCTTAAACCAAATAATCTTATGCCATGGGAAAATAAAAGTGGGTGGGGGGGGGGGGGGGGAAGCATTTGATTATATGAGCAAGGGAGAAATTGTAGCTAGGTGAAGGTAACCATAAAACTGTATCATCATTGGTGGAAGGGTTTGGCAGTTCATTTAGTTGAGTGTGAAAATTCTGTGATTGGAAGAACGGAATGTAAGCAAGTGAGTCAGGTACAACCCAATGATTCAAGGAAATTAGCCTATCCACTTTGACTCTCAAGTCCAATTGAAGAATTTCCCCATCATTAAAGTTGATCTAATTAAGCAAAGGCCCATTTGGAAGCCAGTAATCCAACCACGTCATGGTATCAGTGCCTTTCCCTACCCTATGCCTCAGTAAACCCCTTGCCATATCTCTTAATTTCAGCAACTTTCTCCAAAATCCAGAGCTTAAAGCTGTTGGTTTCACAGCCCAAAAGCTCTTAGCTTTGATCAGGTACCTCTGTGACCAAGCAACCCAGAGGCTATCTTTCTTTCTAGCAAATAATTTCCATATGTGCTTCAAAATAGTAATTGAGTTTGTTATTTCAAGGTTGGGAAAGCCTAGCCCTCCATTAATTTTTGGCCTACACACCACATCCTATGCAACCTTAGCACAAGAAGCCTTCAGTTCAGGGCCTGACCAGAGAAATCTCTTTAAAATTCTATTAACATCATCAATGACCTTCTTAGGTAAAACAAAAGCTTGTGCCCAGTAGCTTTGCATAGAGCAGAGTATGGATTTGACAATGACAACTCTGCTAGCAAAAGAAAGAAGTCCATCTTTTCACTCTTGCTACGATTCTCTCCACAAGGGAAGTACAATCTGTTGAGCTAGGGGTTTTTGATGTAAGTGGTAATCCCAGGTAGGTTACTACTGGTAATGAACCAATTCCAAATTGGAGAAGGGCTAAAATATCAGCTTTGGTTTGACCACCAAGACCAGAGGAAAAAGCAAGACTCTTTGATAGGTTTATGCTTAAACCAGAAAATTCAAGGAATTGTTTCAGGGTGGAATATTGCATTATGAGTTTGAATAATAATTAATTTAATTGAAATTCAATAAGAAAGTCTTGTGTAAAATTCAAGAAGTCTTTAATATATATATATATTTTTTCATGCAAATAATTATATATTGTATACAAAAAAGTAAATTATTAAATTTTATGTCTAATTTTGTGAAGTTATAAATGAAAGCTTAAGCCTAAACTATATGTCTAATTTAGTAAGGGTATAAAAGAAAAATATCTAGTAATAAAGAACTTAAATGGAAAAAAAACAAAAAGTCAAAAGTATAGTTTGTTGGTCCTAAAACAATTTGTAGGACTCATTCGTCTTTTTAAAAAAAAAAAAATAAAAAATAAGAAAAGTAGGAGTTGGGAATATTTTCTCTAATGTGTATTACGTGGAGGGTACTTCTACCATTAATGCCTATTGCATTGCGTGTGAAAAAACAATTGTGAAACTGAAAGCAAATGAGCCAAGCTGTGTTTGAAAAGTGTATTCAACGACGGTGTGTTGAATGGGTATTTGTTGGACCTGATTTTGCACTATATACGGCTGTCGTTTACATAACCGTTAATTTAGGTTCCTCACGCAATTTCAATGTGAATTTGTGCCCTCCTTGCTGGAGGGATGCTTGTAATCTCTCGGTCCTACGATTAAAAGGTAACTAATTAATTGCACAACTTTTTCCTTTTCCTTTTTCTTCTTTAATTCTTTTTATTTTAATTATTTGCGAAAACAAATTTTTTTTTTTTTTTTCATGAACATTAACTCAGATGGTACAAGTTCTCCTTTCTAAACAGGAGATTTATCTATACGTTTTTTAAACCCTTAATGATAGATTTTATCATGCCAAACTTTTGACGCCCTACCTCCAAGGCATTGGTCGATAAAGGGTAGGATATATAAATTGTAGGCTGAAATGATAAAATATGTACACGTTACGGTCTTAGGTAGATAAACTTCGCTATTTAAGAAGACCAACCAAACAACTTAATCGCCAAACTTGAGTGTCATTTTGGCCATTTGAGATGTGTGTGGAATCTAAATAGGTCCCACACATATTCGTCAAAAGGCCTCTCGAGTGCCTTCAATGTTTTGGTCGACAGGAAGAAAGAAAGTGGCGTGGAAGGAAAATAAGAAGAAAGGAACAAAATTCCTTCATTCGGCAGAAATGAGACAACGAGAGAGGATAATAGGAGGGATGAGTTATCATTTCTCCAAATTTTCATCCTTCCAAATATGGTTAGAAGAAATGAAGGAAAAAAAGTGGAGTTAGCATAGAAATTTTAAATTACTGCTATCCTAAATTATACAAACATACTAAATTACTAATATTCTTCATTAAAACTCTCTCCTCTCTTCTCTCCCAACAAATACACTAAATTGATAGCTTATTCTCATCTCTTCCATCTAACTAAACAAAAGAGAGAATGATAGAATCTCTTCTCTAGGGATGTCTCTCATTATCCATCCCTTCTTATCTCCCTTCCATCCATTTTTTTTCTTTCCTATCGAACGAAACATAAAAACTATTTTCCAATGTAGATTCTTATAAATTCTTCCCTATTAGTTTTAGGATGTTAGGACACCATTTTCAAAACAAAGATTTTGAGAAAGAAATGTGAAAATTAATTTTAGAAACATTTGAATCGATTACCCTATTTAAATGAGCAACAACTCCTTAATAATATGTGTATGTATATCAAGATTAAGGGGACTAAGTGTTCCATAATGTTAGAGTAAGATTTAATGCACCCATACAACATTTGTGAAACAATGTTATTTCATAATACCCCTTTGCTGCATTTAGTGTGCACGAATGAAATACTCATTCCAACCATTAATGTAAAACTCTTAATTTTTTGGAATTTATTTAATTATTTTAATTGCATTTTTCTTTATTTATGTGGCTATTTGTTTATTTACTTTTATATTTAATTATGTGTTTAATTGATTAATTATTTTATTAAATTATTTTATTTGAATTAATTAAATTAATTTATGTTGGTTAATTGCATGCGCATTTTTATTTGATTCCATGTGATGTGTTTGTGTGATTGAATTATTTTTAAATGTTTAATTGTATTAGTTAAATGATTAGTTGATTTGATTCGATTTTAGAAGTTTATGGATTTGGGTTTAGCCCATGGACTAACTATATAGGTCTTGGACTATTTAAGTGGGATCCTAAATGGGTTGGAAAGTTACACATGGGGATTAGTAACTATTATTATATAATGAAGTGTGTATATATATATATATATTATTATCATTAAAAATAATATTTTATTAAATTAGTTACCTAGTTAGTTTGCAATTGTGAGACGTATGTTAGGTTTAGAATATAGGTAGTATATTTTATCTATATATATACATAGAGAGTAGATCTAGAAAGAGAAAAAGAAACAACTAGAGAGAAAAAGAGGAAAAGAAAAAAGGAAGAAGAATGACCATTGCAGAAAAAGAATAAGGAAGAAGGAGTTTAACTTTCGATCCAAAAGTTTAAGGCAAATTCTCTGTTCTACACTTTTTCTTTAGATCTGTGATCTATATG